GTTTGAATGCCGGCGGTCCCACGGGGGGGGGAGGGCACGGCGAGGGCGGGAAAGGGCGAGGTCAGTGTCGGCGGCGCTTGCTGTACCGGGGGGAGGAGGAGGAGGAGGAGGGGGAGGAGGAGAGGCTGTGCGGGAAGGGGGAGGAAGTGCCGTGCGCGCGCGTGCGTTGAGGCGTGGCCAAACGCGGGAAACGAGGGCCAGTGCGGGTGGCGGTTTGGGTGGCGACGGCCTCCCGCGGGGAAGGCCCAGGCACATCACACATGGAGATCTCTGCCTGTGTTCTGCTCTTCCCGGCTGGTGTCGTGGTCTCGCTCGCTGGCTCGCTCAGTGTGATGGGCGGGGTGATCTGTTTGGGGCGGAGGCAGATGGGTGGGCGGACGCCACGCGGGGGGAGGCGGGGGCGAAGGGGGCGAGCACGGGCCGATGATGCTTCGGAGGGCGTGTGCAGAGCATGTACAGAGGGGCGAGGGGGGGCTGTGGGGAGGGAGAGTGAGGGCGGCGATCTGCGGCAGGTTCATAACCACCCGCCCTGCAGGTCCTCGGTCGTGGGCGGCGAAAAGTCTCCATACACACACACATGCATCCTCGTTCGCCCCGCTTGCCCTCCGCCCCCCCTCTCTTCCCTTGCTCTAGGCCGGCCGCCTTCCGCTGGGCCTGGCCTCGGGCTCTGTCGCTCACCCTGCTTGGGAGGGGGAGCGAGATCCCGCCGCGCGGCGGGTGGTCTCCGCGGCTGGCGGCCACCGGCCCCTCGGCCGGTTCCCTGGCCGAATGAGTGCCGCAGCATGCTGACAGTGGTCGAGCCGGGATGGGGTCTCCCCCTGCCGAAGATCGAGCGCCGAGAGCGCTCCCGACATCGCGCGGGCGCCCCGCCGGATGCCGTTCCCAATGGACCGCGCACTTGTGCATGCATGTGGACGCGGGCGCGATCTGCTCGCCCCGGGCGCGGAGCCCTGCGTCAGGACCGCACCCGGTGCGCCACATCCCTTCATTTGGCTGACTAGTTCCCTGAGAGAGAAAGAGAGAGAGAGAGAGAGAGTGTGTGTGTGTGTGTGTGTGTGTGTGTGTGTGTGTGTGTGTGTGTGCTTGTGCGTGTGCGCTTGTGCGTGTGCGTGTGTTGAGCCCCCTAGCTGGGCGGAGCCCCCCCCCCCCCTGTGTGCGAGTGAATGGGAGACCGGTTAGGCGGGCGGACGTCCAGGGTGCCGGAACAGCCGTCCGTATGTTTGTATGTTTGTGTGTGTGTGCACATGACGCTGTGCGGGCGTGAGCATGCGTATACGAGGCGGGAATGGCAGGAGGGAGTGTTGCATCCGCCGGTGGATCTCCATGTGCCTGAGCCTCCAGGAGTGTGTGTGTGTGTGTAATGCACGAGTGTTTGCGTGCATGTGTGTGTTTGGGCGTTCCGTGCGTGCGTGTGTGTCCACCCGCGAGTGGCGCGAGTCCCCACGGCGAGCGCCAAGTACGCGCGCCGGTCGTTTCCGCGGCACAGCGGAGCCCTGTACCCGGCATGCCCTCCCCTCGGGGGGGGGGGGGGGCGTGTCGGGCACCGGCCATTGCCACACCTTCCCCGACCGGGACCGGTGCACTGGCAAGAGGGCCGACCGGAGGGGCTAGCCGGGGGCGCCCCACATCCCCCCGGTGGCGGCACCCTTTCATGCGGCCCGTCCCTGGTGTGGCTGCGTCTGTCTCGGAGTCGTGCTCCCCTTTGCTGCGACCGAGCCCCCGCCTCTTCTCCCCCCCTTTCTCTCTCTCTCTCTCTCTCTCTCTCTCGCCCCCGTGCCCGATGTTGGCCGGCATGCTGGGCGCGTGGGGGGCGTGCGCCTGTTGACCGAGTCCCAGAGAGATACCTTAGAGCGGAGGGCTGTACGCGTGTCTGTGTGTATGTGTGTGTCCTTGTGGGTTTCCCCCTTTCCGTACCCCGCCCCCCCCCCCCCCCCACGCGTGTTTCACCTCGCGTGCTTCGGCGCCCCAATACACCCTCGGTGCCTGCACCCCCCCCTCCCCCCCCTCCCCCGCACGCCGGTGTGGCCCCCCTGTAAGCAGAGGGCCGTGTTTCGCAACGACGCTGCATGCATGCCAGCGTGGCTATCGGTGAGGGACATGGCTCGCGGTGTCCGTGTGTCTGTACGCTGGCTGCTGTTGCCGCGCGCGCGCGCGCCTTGGACCGGGCTTGCACTGCATGGCGCACAGGGGGAGGTGGAGGGCCAGGGCAAGGCGCCGGGGGAGGGGGCGGGGGGCAGGAGGAGGCCCTCGCAGTTGGCGACGTGCTTCCTCCGCGACGTCGGCCGAAGGTACGGTGTGTCTATTTTGTTTGTTTGGAGGGGCCCACAGGGGTGGTGCTGTGGCCGGCGTCCGCACGCCATCGCCGCCGGCTTTGGGGGAGGGGGGAGCAGGCCGGGGGCGACCACCGGGCCCGGCCCCGGCCGTGCGGAGACAGCGCCCGCGAGGAGTACAGGCTGGCGACGGTGTCGCTGGTGCGTCCGCGGGGTGTTCTCCCGTGGCGAGCGGAGCACCGGAAAGGCCGAATAAATATATCCGCCTCATATCTTGGCCACATGTGTGCCCTCGGCCTGGCGAAGGCGCGCCCCATGTGTCTGTGTGTGTGTGTGTGTGTGTGTGTGCAGGCCTCACACAGACGCACCCCGCCGCCCCCTCCGGCTGGGGGCCAGGGAAGCGACCCCGGCACAGGACAAAGGAATTCCTTGGCAGGACAATAAATGGCTGCCCAGGAATTCAGCCCAGCGAGGGGCCGGCGAGGGGAAGCAGGCGCAGGGGGGGGGGGGGGGACGCCCCCGGCCGTGGCGGCGGGGAGGGGCCGGCCGCGCGTCCCGGGGGCAGGCGCCCATGCAGGCGGCCCGGGGGGGTGTCTGTGTGTGCTCGTGCGCGCGCGCGTGCGCGTGCGGCCCTGACGCCGGGCGGTGCGGGCCGCCCCGGGCGCCGGGATCGACCGGGAGAATGGCCGCCAGCAATGTGCCCCGGCGGCGGCGTTGCCCAGCGATGAGTCGGCGGCCGGGGGCGCGGGGAAGAGGGGGCTCTTGGGCGAACTCCAGCCCGGGGGCAGAACTCCCGGCGCCGATTGTTTGCGCGGACCCGTGCGAACGCGGGCGTGAGGCGCCGGCGGTGCGGCGTCCCCCCCCCTGGGCGGAGGCCGCGCCCGGACTCGCCGCCACGCGTGCCCTCTCCCCCTGGGCCGCGCGGGTCCCGGCGGATGGAATCGGCGCGGGCCGACCCCCGCCCCCCTCGGGCCCCGGCCGGCGGGGGCCTTTGTTTGTCAGCCGCGGGCCGACGCCGCCCCCTCCCCCCCCTGCGGGCTGCTCCCCGCCGGCCGCTCGGGCCCTCGGGTCCTGGGCAGGAGTGGCCCCGGGCACCGGGGCGCCGGTGAGACCGGCTCGGCCCGCGCACATGGGGCATGTCCGGCGGGCGAACATCCGCCGGGGGCGGCGTGCCGGCGCCGGCGCTCCGGCCGTCGGCCGCCGACGCTGGGCAATATCTTGGCATCGGGCCGGCGGTCTTGGCGCATCGGGCCCAGCATCCGCCGGCCGGAGGGGCCCGCCGCCGGTGAAGGCGGGCCGGCCTGTGCGCGCACGGCCTCCCCCCCCCCCCCCTCCGGTCCCGGTCGGCCGGGCCCGGGCGAGGCCGGACACCAGGCAGCTCGGGCCGCTATAGAGCGCCACACGGCGGGACCAGCTGCCGCGCGGCCAGCGCGTTCTCAGGATTGTTTGCACGCTGGCAGCCCGAACCCCCTCGCGGCGGGTCGATCCCATCTCGCCACCCGGCCGGCGTCCCTATCAACGGACCCACGCTCCGGGCGGCCAGTCACTTGAATCAATAATTTGCCAGTCCGCCCCCCGGCCCGGGGTGCCCCCACCCCTCGCCCTATGCGGCGGCGGCGGCGGCGGCGGCGGCGGCGGCGGCGGCGGCGGCGGCGGTGGGCCGGTCCGCGCGCCACATGAAACTGGGCCCGGACGCCGCACGTGACCCGTCCCGGCCGGCAGCCGCTGCGCTCGAGCCGCGGTCTCTGGGGCATCCTCTGCCCAGGCTGCTCTCCTCCTGCACTGGCCGCCCCCGGGCCGGGGCCCTTCGCCCGGGGGCAGGATACGCCCCAGAGACCGACACGACGCACGGTACACTGGCCCCATGTATTCGACCCCCCCCCCCCCCCCCCC